GCTCGCCACATGGTGAGTGCCACAGATCAAGCTTGATTACCAATCATTTGCCATCACACGTGTATAACATTTTAGTACACGTAGTTTAGACATTTGCCATCAAAAGTTCTATAACATTTTTAGTAAGTTTAGACATTTACGCTCGCCCATCACAATGTTTTATTGATTGATTATTAATATCCCTCTAAAGCGGACCGGTTTATGCCAATAGATCAAGCTTGATTACAATCTTATGCACTATAAAGTTTGTACAATTATGCTCGCCACATAGCGAGTGCCACAGATTAAGCCTGATTACTAACAATTCGCCCATCAGATGTCTATATTATTTTAGAAATTTATACATATCAGGTATATAATCGCCCGTCATAATGATTATAATCAACTTTGTTAACATGTCTTAATTAATATAACTCAACTTGGGTATGCTGAAGGGACCACATAGCAAATACCACAGATCAAATGAGTCCCAGTTTACCATCAGCGTCACTACAATCTCGTAATAATAACAAAGTTTAATGGTCTTTCGTAAAACTACTATCTACAATAATAATCACTTTACTCAATTCTTCGAGACGACTCTCTTCATCAATTCATAACAATAGAAATGAATACGATCCATCGTTCACAAACTTTAATCCTTTTGTGGCGCTGGCCTGCGTTGCATAAACAACCGCTTTAGTCTACCCGAAATTGGATAGTTTACTAAGCACACTGACCCCCCCAAATTGGTAATTCTATTAGCAGATCTGATTATTTAAAAATCAAACAATGTGTAGCAATATATTTTACATGCCGCAACTCGAACAACTAATTCCAGTAATCTGTTCACGCCACCGCACTACAACAGTTTTATAAGTAACATATCTGAGTTAGCCGCGCTAACCAACTTTAGGCCTCAGCCCAATATGAAATACCGGTATTTATTACTCGTAATGACAAGTAAATCTTAAATTGAGAATATATTCACGTCGGCTTGAATTACTGATTTGATTTCCATACATCATCGAAAATCAGTAACTGATTCTGGTAGAACTACTAACTGTATATGCCATCTCTTACATAAATTACAAACATCAAAGCTTATTTTGGCAGTCTTTGACGACTGTATGACAAACCGTTGTTATTCATTATAAAATGCTTTCCCTTGATTACTAATCCCACACCCAATATACGATCATATTATATATACCAATACGTAATTACGTATAGTATAGTGAATGATATTTAAATCACTTCAATATCTTGTACGACTCAATCGTTGAGAAGATGCAAGCCTCAACATCAATATTGTATACATCGTCGAAGAATCTATAGAAAGAATAAACAACTTCAATATACAAAAAGGCTTAGCAGTCAGTCATCTTTGCGACGGCGAACCGCAACAAATAAGCTTCACGTATTTTGTTCCAGAAGAAGAAAGCGAACAAGACACCGGAGAGGCCTCACAAACCAGACTATCTACGTTAATATCACAAATTTAATCTTTCTCATAAAACAATTAGACTTGATTAGAAATCTTGGTATAATATATAGCACGCTGATGGATACCGCTAGAGAAGAACGGCAAGTCACAATATAACATATCATATGAATTGGTCAAACGTTATGGTTTACTAGATGTGATCATAAACGCATCAAGAATAAGACGGTCTTTGATAATATACGATACACGTATTAAAATTGTCTGATCCAATTCGACTCAAATCAAAATAAGCTCAGAGTGAAATTCATTTCGGTATTGTCACATAATTTATGCACAATGGTTGGACAGATATCGTATGTTTGTACGCAAGAGATTATACACTGCGAAAGTCGATAGAATGGACGTCGATATAGCGAAAACTAGTTATTACGAATTTTTTCCTGGGACGAAATTTATAAGTGTCATTAAATAAAAATTTGATATAACAGACAAAAGTGTGAAAAAGACTATGGTCCCGACTAGTCCGTTATATCAACTTTAACGTTGTATACTTGCATATTCTACTTACTGCACATTTTTAATAAAAACAACTAAAGTCAGCGGTTAAAAAGTCGCCTGTTAATCCTTTGTAGGTTATTTATAAGCTATGACTAACTGAACGTTTCGGCCATATTAGTTGGTACCACTAGTCAGGGAATTGATCATAGGATAAGTTTTAATTGTTAGCGTTTTAACATGTAATGTATATATTACTTTAATAAGTTTGCTCAACAATTGATAAAATTGTTGAAGACTTGTTTTCGTAAAATATCAAACGCGCAAGTTCGCTACATTTAAATTAAAGCTAAGGGTTAATTTTTTAAGCTTAATTATCTGGTAATTGATATATTCAAACGTTTTGCAACTTTAGCAATGTTTGTCTCAGTTGTGACCTGTGTCAGCCTCTGAATCGAGTTGTTTTATCTATACTAAACAATTTACTATTTTTATACTGAACGTTGAGCAAACACGTTTAAATTATCTTACTCGTACGGATTATTATTACTCTCGCTTTATTTTTTGTCAAATTATTTATTTTCACTTTGTCAAGTCTGCTACTATAAAATTGTCATATTAATAATAGAAAATATAAATTTACTACAGGTGTAAGAGACATATTCACATTAAATATGACTGAAAACATAAATTGAGACGACAATGACCATTGTTATTGTCAAAATTTTGTTGGATAATTGCATCTCTATTTTAGGAGCAACACTTTTGGGGGGTCCACTCCCACTTCCGCCACTTCCACTAGAATTACTTCCATCACTTCCACTAGAATTACTTCCACCACTTCCACTAGAATTACTTCCGCCACTTCCACTAGAATTACTTCCACCACTTCCAGTAGAATTACTTCCGCCACTTCCACTAGTACTAGAGCTGCTTCCACCACTGCCGCCAGAACTGCTTCCGCCACTTCCACTAGTACTGTTGCCGGAGACACATATATCGCCGTATACACAACTTTCGCCAGGGTTACAGCAAGAATTATCGCCACAAGGCGGATCTTGAGCAGTGCACGGTATGTCGCAGTAGCCGCCAGCTAAGCATGTCGCGCCGGTAGGGCAACAATCAAAACCATTTGGACATAGAGAATAGTTCACATCGCCACAATCGTAGAGACCGAATTCTGTAAAGTGTGAAGAACGCGCTTTGACATTGCCGGTAAAATTTCTCGTTGCAAGGTCGTATCTACTTTGCAGCCGAGATGATGTAGCGAAAGTAAAGGTTATTGTAGTAAGAACGAGAAATAGCACGAAAATCTTCATGGTAAACGTTGAGTGAAAATCGAATGCAATTATTTTATGCGATTACTCTGGTAGGAATGGTCGTGGATGCGTCTATCTTAAATAAAAATTTACAGTATTTGCTTTTAATGTTGCGCTACATTTGTGAGCGGGGCAAGCTTGCCAAAATTGTAACAACAAAAAGTATAGATAATCAACCAACCATATATCATGAATTATGTGTATAATTCCTTCTTTACGTTGAGTGGTGAGTCATATACACAATTGCCAGCATTTCATTTACTGTGGTTAATAGCAATAATAGTCGAGAATATGCTTTATCGACAGTGTTGGAATAATTACACGTAACGGTAAAAATAATAGAAACAATATGCATATTGGTTGTCTGCAATGCTCTTTAATTTTTTTGTACAAATGTTGTTAGAAACAGATAAATAGTAAAAAGCCGAATAAAAGTCTCTGACAAATTGCAAATTGGCTCTCAAAGTCCAGGTCAATAATAATTAATATTAACAAAAGAAAAAGGCATCGACGTGTTACAATTTCAAGTCCTTCGTAAGAGTAAGGATAACTGCATTTGTAATGTAACTTGATTTGAAATTACCCCTGGGACACCTCGTAAACAGCTTTGCATAATATGACAAGAAACAAACCGCCTTTGACGATAAATGTCTGATGGCAAATAAAGATTATATTTTTTCAACGGACGAGTGAGCCAGCATCGTACCATTTTCGCTTATGCTGGATATGCAAACTGTTTCAGAAATGAAAGAACTATTGTTGGGGTGTTGGCATTCATCCAAATTATTCGACATTTCCAGTATCTGTTTGTTACTATAAACAAACAATAGTTACTTTTAACAGGTAAATTAATAGCTTGGTTCACAAACTAATTGGTACACTATAATTAGATAACCAATCGTCAGATTAAGATCGTCCCCATCTCCGTTTTACAGACATTGTAAATTCTAACCTTTTCTATTATTTCAGTATTTGCATATCATCAATAACGTTCCGGCTAAGTATCGTATATGACCCCATTTTGTTACTTAACTCACCATCATACAATGATGAGGGCTAAAAAATCTATATGGTAAAGTACACACATTGTACCCTACTCTCATGAATTATCGTCATACATTTGCCCAACCATCACCTTGACGTAATAGTACCTTGTCACTTTTTACTCCAAACTAGCAAGGTAAATATTTACTATACGTTAATTAACAATTTTGATATACTGCGTAATCGATTACACTGTATATGAGTGCAAGAAAATATCGATCGCAATGTAGAATGCACCAGACAAAAATGCTAGGTAATAAGAGGTGGAAGAATACTCAGTCATTTAGTGTAGGTGATGTAGTTATACTACGAATTCCAGGAGCTGAATAACACAGCTCGGTAGAAAGTTTTTACCATGCAAGCCTGTTACGAATTGTAAGAGATAATCTATATATACTTGGGTTACGTTAGGCACGTTGGATATATGCTGTCAAGCGGCTGCTTTGAGTTAATGCTAGCAGACTTTTCCTGAGTTGGAAGATATACCAGATACATAACTGAAGTGGCGAGACGTCTGGCACTAGTTAATAGTGAAAAATTAAGAGCATGTAATTGTCAATCGGACTGTTCAACGAGGCGTTTATGTAGAAGAGTGAATAATAATCTGTAGTCAACGTTGTCATTGAAGCAATCACCAATGTTCAAATCATTACAATTACAATAAACTATTACTCGCAATATCAAACCTGTTGTGTACCCTGTTGTGCATAGATACTTATTTCGACCCAATTCCGAATTGGGTCAGAACATTTAATATGCTATATAAGGCCCATCTCTCATTGGAGGCCAAGACACACTTTTATACGGTGTACCCCAGGTACAAAAATGACAAAAACTGCGAACCTGAGCAGTAGAGTAGTAGAGCAGTAGAGCAGTAG